CCACAACGTCCAGCTATTTTTTGGTTGCAGCCGTCATTGTTGTTTGGCGGGTCCGGGCTGGGGATTCGAACCCGCCACCTTAGGTGTACGTGGCTGGCACCTTAGCCGGTTGAGCTATAGGCGCCGAGCCTTGAGACAGAGTCTTAAGCTGTCATCCTGGGTAGAGTGCTGTAGTGTCACAGCTCATAGCAACCTCAAACTCTTGGGCTTAAGCTATTCTCTTGCCTCAGTGTCCCAAGTAGCTGGGACTACAGGTGCCCGCCACAACAGCCAGCTATTTTTTTGTTGTTGCAGTTGTCACTGTTGTTTAGCAGGCCTGGGCTGGGTTTGAAACCACCAGCCTTGGTGTCTGTGGCCGCTGCCCTAGCCATTTACTTTTAATAGCCCTGTGGAATTCACCACTTTAGTTATAATAAAAGAGGCTCGGCACCCGTAGCACAGTGGTTACGGTGCTGGCCACATGCATCAAGGGTGGAGGGTTCAAACCCAGCCCTGTGGAATTCACCACTTAAGTTATAATAAAAGAGGCTTGGCACCCGTAGCACAGTGGTTATGGCGTTGGCCACATGCATCAAGAGTGGTGGGTTCAAACCCAGCTTGGGCCAGCTAAACAACAATGACAACTGCAACAAAAAAATAGCCAGGCATTGTGGCAGGCACCTATAGTCTCAGCTACTTGGGAGGCTGAGGCAAGAGAATTGCTTAAGCCCAAGAGTTTGAGATTGCTGTGAGCTGTGACGCTACAGCACTCTACAGAGGGTGACATAGTGAGACTCTGTCACCAAAAAAAAAAAATTTATAATAAAAGAATTGACATAAACTCTTACAGAGCTAATCAAAGATTATAATTCAAAAGTACTAAAAATTCAACAGGTCTAAGAAAATAAGAAATGCCCAATTTTTTCCTAAAAAACATGAAAGAATTTTCATTCTTTTTCCCTGCAATGGGAAATTTTGGGTAACAAATCATAGTGAATGTTGCCACTGAAGTCTCAAGTCTTCACACTGATTCCCTTTATGCTAAGAAGGCAAGTGACAGCCATTTAGCCAATTAATTACCTTGGTGTAGGTTTACCCCAGTCAAAAGAAAGGTCACACAAGTCCAAGGGATGAGATATTTCCAACTATTATTGCATGACTGATATCTTGTCATTATCACAAATCTTACTCAGTGTAGTGAAGATCCAACAATAGGGTAAGTGTAGCAACATAACCAATAGATTTTTGAATTCTATGAGGGTAGGGAACACATTTTATTCATCTAGCACCCCAAACAGTGTCATTAAATAGTTTGCACTCAATAAACAGTTAATAAAATAAAATGTTACCATGTAAAATGTCCGAGTCATCTTCAACAAAATCAATGTCTCTTAAGTCCCATTCTGCATAATTGTCAAATTCCTATGTGGGGAGAAAAAGTCCCCACCCCAAACACATTTGCTTTAATTAATTACAAGAGTGATGATTTAGAAAAAAATAAAAACAACAGGAGCAAATTACTTATTAAAAAAATACTAAGTAGGATAAAAGGCCAGGATATTGCCACAAGTAATAGAAAGTCATAGGAAAAATCTGAGAGGCTTTCAAGCAGTAATGATAATAGAAGGTGAGTTATGAATTCAAGAATGAAGCTAAACATATTACTCTAAAAATTAAAAATAATCTGTTCATTCCGAAGAAAATCTAAGTTTGATTAGACCTTTAAGTATTTAGATAAGAAAACTGTCTAATAGGCTCAGCACCTATAGCTCAGTGCTTGGGCGCCAGCTACATATTCTGGAACTGGCAGTTCAAATCCAGCCTGGGCCTGCCAAACAACAATGACAACTATAATCAAAAAGTAGCCGGATGTTATGGCTGGTACCTGTAGTCCCAGCTACTTGGGAGGCTAAAACAAGAGAATTGCTTAAGCCCAAGAGCTGGAGGTTGCTGTGAGCTGTGACATCACAGCACTCTACCCTGGGTGACATAGTGAGACTCTGTCTAAAAAAAAAACAAAAACAAAAAACCTGTCTACTAATTTATCTACCTTTTATTACCTTTTGAGGTTCTATTTATTCAACAATATTGCGTGAAGAATTCAAAGGGTAGATTTGTTCATATTCTATTCAATGAAAATAATTCATAGGGGTAGTGTCTATAGAGCAGCTCTACAATATCACCTACTATGAATAAAATGCTGATGTAGGTGTCGCTAACAACATTGCTTGTAATTTGTTAAACTTTCAAATTACCTCCAGAATCACTGTAGTTGTGGAATGGATGATAAATCAAGAGACTTGTGACTACATTCACATGACCTTTAATTCCATGGCTGAATGAAGAACATACAGTTTTTATATATAGTCATCATTCTTCACATCCTTGTGGATATAGTACAGGAGTCAGCAAACTATTATCCAGCCCATTGCCTGTTTTTGTACATAAAGTTTTACTGGAACACAGGCATACTCATTTATTTATGTATTATCTATGCTGCTTTTGTGCAATAATAGCAATTTTAGTTACAACAGAAACTTTATCACCTACAAAACTTTTTTTTTTTTTTTTTTGAGACA